ACAAATATTTGTGAGGAGGGGAAAAAGACTAAGTAATTAAGGGCTTCTAATCCCCAAGTGTTTGAAGTTGTGTTTGTTTGGTTTTATGTTGTTGCTTACCTGTATCATATTGTGACCAGTGATAGATAATTATTTGTGTGAGAGAAATAAAGATTACTACTTGCAAGGTGGCATTGCCTGGCATGAAACCTAACCAAAAGGTTGTCCTACTGGAAAAGTAGGAATATTGCTAAAAATTAATACATTTTTAAATTGATTTCAGGGAGGAAGAGAGGGAAGGAGAGAGAGAGAGGGAGAGAGAGAGAGATAGAGAGAGAGAGAGAGAGATCTCAATGATGAAAGAGAATCATTGATCACTGCCTCCTGCACAACCACCACTGGGGATGGAGCCCACAACCTGGGCATGTGCCCCGACCGGGAATGGAACCGTGACTTCCTGGTTCATAGGTCGATGCTAACCACTGAGCAACGCCAGCAGGGCAAAAAGCAAGTTGTTTTGATTTGGTTCTTGTTTGTTTTTAAGACAGATAGTGAAATGTCACTGCTTGGGAACTCCACCTCTTTTTTTTGGAATGATCACTGGTGGCCATAAGAGCTGCATATTAACCAGGTAGAACATGGAATTCCTTTAGGGTCTCCTCATTCCATGATTCAACAAAAACGGATATAATTAGCTACAGCTCACTCAAGGGAGAAGCTACAGTTCACCAGGCAGAATTCAACCCAACCTAATTCAACCTACACGGTACCCCTCAAAAACGTATTCATACATTGTTCTGATAGCTCAATGTTTCTTTCTTTTTAGATTTAACCCACTGGAAATAATAATTATTCAGAGTGTGCATACATTTTTTGGAATAACCTATATTTAATAGTTGCTGATTTTTAAGCCTTGTGTCAAGCACAAGGGATAGAGTGACAGCTACCCTTGCCCTCCTATTGGTTATATTCGTGTCTCAGGAGAAACTAGACTAGTAGAGAAGCAATTACAGCTGTGCATTAAGAGTTACTCCAGAAAATGCTTAGGGCTGTAGAAGCTCATACCACAGGAAGCTCAACCAAGCAAAGAATCACAGGGCTTCCCTGGTCAGTGTCAGCTAAGCTTGGACCCAAAGGATAAGTGGAGAGTGTCCAAATGAAGAAGGAAGATGGAGTGTTTTCTAGGCCCAAGAAAAGATAAGGACAAAGAGAAGAGGCACGCAGATGGGGCACTGCCCTTTTGTTCCAGAGTAGTCCTGTTTTCACCCACCACTGTTTTTCTTCTTCTTCTTCTATCTCCAGTGTTTAGCCAGTAGGTTAGCCTCTTCTCCCTAATCACCCACTCCTTTGCTGAGGCTTATTTGCAAATCCAACCCAGGAACCAGTAAACAAAGAAAATGGCTAAGGAGTAGCCACTGGAGCCTGGAACCGAGCCCACAGTACACTTACAAAAATTTGATTTTCTGCAAAAAAAAATATTTTGACTCCTACATTTTTGGACTGCATTAGAAAGATCTGAAATGGATGACACCAAGCTGTTTGCCTAAAATAATGTCCCAAGCCTGAATTGGCATGGATATTTCCTGAGATTAAAATAGAAACTTGTTTTGCTAACAGAAAACAACTTGGAAATCAGAGTCGTTTAAGTTGAAACCATTATTTTTCTTTTTCTCAAAGAAAGTTCCCTGTTTTTATACACACTAAGAGGTCAGGATAGTGAGGTCCCTCTGCCACAGAACTTTCCATTAAAAATTTGAAGTTGAGAAACCTCAAAGAGAAAATAAAGACGGGGAGAAAAGTTTGTAATGTAACAAACCCATTCAATAAATGTTTATGAACACTTACTATTCGCCAGGCACTGTTCTATGCACCCAGCAAAGAAACTTGTCCTTGCAGAGTTGGCATTCTAGCAGAAAGGAAACCTACAAAAAGAAGAAATAAACAAATTATGTAGGAAACTATGGGATTAGTGGTATGGGGGGTAGGGGAGAAACAAAGTAGAACAGGCAGGGGGCCTGAGGAGGGGGCAGGCTGCAACTTTAAATAGGGTGGTCAAGGTTGGTCTCCTCAAAGAGGTGACATTTGAGCAAAGACGGGAATGAAGTGAGAATGTGAGCCATGCAGACATCTGTGTCCAGAGAGAACTAACAGTTGGTCAAGGGCCCTAAGGCAGGGGCATGCCTGGAATGTTCTAGAAAGGCAAGGATTAGGAGAACAGAGATTGGGTTTGAGAGGGATGGGAGCTGGCAGATCACTGCCCTGGGAGTATTCATGGTAGGGATTGGACTGATGTGTCAAACGTGCAGTTTAGGACAATCATTGCGTGTTTGCATTTGAGCAGTCCTTTAGCACAATGCATTTTACTCTGCCACAGCGGAGCAGTGATTGATTAAAATGGTTTCTCAATGATCACTGCAGGACCAGGCACCACAAGACTGCCAAGTAGTAACCGCCTTCCTCTCTGGTGGGCACGTGGCCCCGGAGCGGCAGCCGTCGCTATCCTTCTAATGTGCTCAGTTGAGCTGGCAGAAGTAGAAAGTCTACACGTTTCTTCTTCAGAACCCGACTGGAGAGCCAAACCTTTCCTTCGGTTGGTTACAAAATAAAAAATATGCCTTTGCCAACTATGTGGGAAGAGCAGACCCCAGGAGTTTGCCTTTGCTAATCTGTCCAAGTCGTGTTGTGGTTTCACCAAAGGCCGACGGCGGTGCTCCGCTCCAGCCCCATAAACCTCTCTGCTCCCTCACCTCTCAGCCGTCGGGGGAAAGCTACTGCTCTCCGCCGCGGCCGCCACCTGCTGGGGCGGGACGCGC